ATATTTTTTTAATATTAATTATCATAATTAATTACTAATATTGTAACGGCCTGCTATGGTTCATACATTTAGTAAAATCGCACTACTAATAGTTAACTACGAGAAATATTAAGATTGTATAACTCATACATACAAGTATAGATAAGAATAAAATAACTAAGTTTTTATATACAAAATATAACATCATATATGTATAATCATCCCAAAAATAATATCAACCTAGTGCCGGTCAAACACAGACAAAATTGTTACCCAAAATGGTAACTCTAACATGAGGACCAAACTCCCTGTCCCATAACGGTCACATCAATCAGCTCCAACCTAACCTTAACCTACTCTCATACACAGTACAATCATCGCAGTCCATCAACATGGAAACAGAAGAGTAAGCTAGAGTTCAATAAACAATCATACAAGTATAGAACAATAATTTATACTACACAATCATCCAACTATCAAGCATGAAGTCAAACACCATACACTTCATCATCATAGAAATCATGCAATAACATGTAACTCATGACATATACCAATGCATATCAATCATCTAATGCATCATCACGCATATATCTAGGAGATCTCCCTAACAGCAAATCACTATAAGTGACATCCTAATCCTACCGAAACCACCCCAACCGTTTTCACGCTCAATGCGCCCGCTCGGTCACAGCTAAACAGGATATAAATCCTCACTGGGTTTACTCGGATGATGTCCCTTACACAATTAATTGGAAGTCTGGTTCCACCGTCAAGTATAGCACAATTGGGTACAGGCTTACCACGACCTTGACATGTATTACCAAGTCACTTGTGAAGTTCGCCCATCGACTATCTGCAAGGAACCACACACCTTCTCTAGTACTTGGTTAAGGGAATAACCCTCGACCTCATACTCCGCTCCAACACTAACTAAGGACTTAGAGGAGAGTCACCCAAACCAGTGGCCTACCTGAGCACCACTTTCACCCAAAACTAGTGGTATATCTAAGCACCACTCTCATTTATATCAGTAGCCTATCCAAGCACCACTCTCAAGAGACTCTATGTGAGCTCTTCCAGTTCAAAAATATTTGTCTCTCCTCAAGTCCTAGGCTAGACTCATGTTATAAGGCATCACATGCAATAATGCATCATACATCATACATGGTCTGCCCACCATCATGATCAAAATCATCCTCATATGAACATATACACATGTCATATCATATTTAAACATTCATACATACCATTACCAAGCATACACATGAATCATACACCACCATACATCATATATCATCCATACATGATCAAATCTTCGACTTTAAGCATGCATACATCATTTCAAATCAATCATTCATAAACATATTTACGCCCGGCGCAGCCTAAGCGCGCTCGACCTAATCCCGACCCGAGAGTCCTAAAACTCATCCATGCTCGGCGTCATTGAAACATAGACTCATAGGACTCTCCACGTCTGGCGTGCTCACCCTACACCCGACATCGACCACACAGAGACCTCTAGAGGTCTTCGCACCCGACGTGCTCAACCTACGCCCAGCGCCAACTCAGAAAAAGACCTCAAAAGGGTCTCCTCGCCTGGCGCGCCCATTTTGCGCTCGGTGCCACACCAGAAAACATCATTCAGACCCAAATTTGATATTGCGCTCAACGTGGTTCTCCTCACACCCGGCGCAAACTCATCTAGAGACCCCCCATTTGCAATCACGCTCGGTGCGACTAACCTCGCGCTCTGTGTGATCCAAAAATGGGTGCCTTTGATGAGTACACGCCCAACACCAAGAACTATGCCCGACACAAATTCAAACAACAGCCCAAAAACGTAGAATTTCACCTCCAAACCTGAAAATTAGGGAAACTAACTACATGCAATCCAAGAAACGAAGTATATAGACTCCATACCACAAGAAAACAGACTCTGATTCAACATGCATTCACCAAACGCATCAAAATCATCAAAACTTCAATTTTTCCCCAATACCCCAAAATGAACAATTTTTCTAATCCAACCACGGATTCTCAACATTCATGTATCAATTAAGTTTCTAAACTCACATGCAATCAAACAACAAACATTCTAGCTTCCCTCACTTGAAAATTGGCTCAAAATAGCCAAGAGCTGAGAAGAAGAAGAAGTCTCCTCGAAAGCTTGACTCCCGGACTTCAATCCTCCAAAAGTAAGCTTCCTAGCCTGAATTCCAAGAGAAGACAGAAGAGATTTGTAATCTAGATGAGAAGAGGAATCAAACAGAGAAATTTGGGAGACAAAGGAGCTCACGTTTCCAGAGTCCTTATTTCTAAAACTTCTCTATAAGTTTCTTTGAGAATGAACTTATGAAGTTCTCTTCTCAGAGAAATCCTTATATATTCTTCTTCCTAAAGTCAATTTAACTCTGAAATCTACTCACTACGTTACAAATATTATTATATTAATGGAGACAATAGTTTCAAAGTAGTGGTGTTGACGACAGTAATAATAGTAATGATAAAAATAATAATATTAATAATAATGACAATATTAAAGACATAGTGGTGGATTGGGGAGGCTGAGAAATTTTTTAATCCTACCTCATGACTTTTTTATAAATCAAATGTAGAACAATAATTTTGATCTTGTCTAATACGTGAATTAAACTCACTCAAAAGACTTGTAATATGTTCTTAAAGAAATTTAAACATAGTATAGGTAAATTAATTTAAGTTTTGAGTGCAGCAATTTAAAGTAATTAAAAATAATCAATATTAAAACTCTGATTTCAGTTGATAAAAAAACATAGGGTTATAGTTCACCGATATTTTCAATCACTCTTCTCTTAATTAGGGTTTAAAAGCCATGCACGTCACTTGTTCTGCAAATATTTTGTTTTAATTTGCAAATTATATATGTATGTCTTGGGTGAGCAACCAACTTAAAATTAATTATGAATTTTTATTTCTTTTATCAAGAGTACAAAATTAATAAATATGAAATTAAAGCTCAACAGGTATCTATGTTACGACATTCGATTATATTATTTGTGTTAAATATTTATTGATACAAAAATTACTATTGAAAATTTAATTAATTATTTTTAATGCTTAATATAAAATTTCTTTATGAAATTTATCATTTTTGTGAGACAAATTTTATTTGCTTCTATTTTTTTTTATAATTTAAAGAAAACAGAGATAGAAGGGCAAGGAAGAAAATTATAGAATAAAATAGGTAATAAAATAAAACTCTAAAATCGCATTAATTTGTTTTGTCTTTGCACGCGGAAGATTAGAGAAAAGTCTTGTACAATATAGCGACGTTTTAGCATTCGTCACTTTGAAACATCGAATGCACTATATGATTATGTTTGAATAAACTTTTTTATAGGTATTTTTAACAAAAATAAAAGAATAAAAAATTAAATTTGTCCTATATTAAAACCAATTTATACATATAAGTTAAAAATAAGTTTTGAAACAAACGAGATTTTCCACACATTAATTTATAAATAAGTTAATTTTAATTGTTAGAAAAAAAAAATATTTTATCCATTTTATATTTTTCAAGAAGTGTTTATAAAAAACTTAATTATCTTTAATAAAATGTCTCTGATCATGACATGACATGGCAAAAATATTCTTACAAGCAAATAAAACCCACAATCACTTGTAAATAAATATTTAAAAGAGTACCAATTTAATAATACAAATGCTTAGAGTCTGGAAATGGAGTGCAGATGGATAGTAAAGAATCTGTATTCATGGATATTAACACTTTAATAATATTAAAAATATCATTAATTATATGTCAAATAATTTGATTTAATTGATTTTTATTATAAATATATGTCATAATTATTTATTTTATTTTAGTACAAATATATATAATAAAATATTTTTAATGTAAATATATCTTTTAAAATTATTTTTTAATTTAATTTTATTTTATTTCTTATTTTTATTAAAAACTTCATATTTTAATAAATATCTAGGAATATTTTTAAATAGTCACAAATATATAAAAAAAAAATTCATAAATACTCATGAGATAAATGTTCACACTAAATAGAGCAGAAGAGTTATTATCCTTCACGAGCACGTAGTTGCCATCTCCAAACACGGCCTTATTAGCGTCGCGTTTTATTTTGCTACAAGTCGGAGTCATATTTGCCTGTAAAGTTCTAACACGTCTCTTTGTTGTTCGACACAATAAAAATGAAAAAAATTCGTGAAAGGGAAATTTTCTCATCTTGTCTTATTCCTACCCGATGAGTCAGCTCAGATATTTTGATTATGACAAAACTCTCTTACTTGTATTCAAAAATACACGTTAAACAATATTAAATTTTTTAAATCATTAAAAAACAAGAGTAAAATTATTGTGTTTATGATAAATATTTTTTAGTTTTTGATTCCTCAACACTGGACTAGAGTTTCTGAACTGTGAAGTTACCAAGAAGTTACTTCTTCAGTAGTTGTAAACATGTTCAAAATAACCTGTTTAAAAGAAGAAGTGACGGGAGACGAAGAGAAGAAGAGAAAAAAGAAAACGGAGAAGAAGAGAAAGACCTAACCAACAATGGAGAAGAAGTGACAAAGAAAAATAAACAAAAAATAAAACTAAGAAGAAGGGAAAGATGAAACAAGAGATGAGAAAAAAGTGGTTTCAGTAGAAAAGAAAGATGAAAAGGTGTCGTTGATTTCGGATATCAACAAATTTTTTTTTTATACCCAAAATCGACCGCATATAACCGCATTCATCACTTTTTTAAACCATTCAAATTCATAACCTTAATTCTACCCATTCGATTTTTTATTTTTTAGTTTCGGATTTCACAAATTTTGGACGGTTGATCACGCCTAACTTGAAGAACAAAATAATATCGGATGAAGGACAAGTGTAATCACGTGGCTCATATTTGACATCGATTGATGCATGTGGTTGAATTGGACAATATCTTAAACGTTTTTGTGACTCCTACATAGTCATGTACGGTAGAAATTAATAGTGTATGTGTATATTTATATGGCCAGTTCCGCTACCACCTTGAACATATCAAACCTTTTAGATTTGCAAACTTCTGCTTACCACAAAAAGAAACGGAAAAAAAATAAACTTTTTTCATCAACCACAAAATCCTTTTTTCTTCAAAATGTCAGAAAAAGTTCCCAACAATTCGTCCTTGAATGTTCCTTTACTACCCGAGTGGAATCACCATGATGAAGAGAAAGCCGTGACTTCTCATCCTTCTACCAAAAATACAGTATCCTTCTTTCGCACCTGTATTAATGGACTTAATGCAATATCAGGTTTCATTACCTACAACTCATGCACTTACTTAACTTATTCAAAGACAACTCTAATTTAATTCAGCTTAATTTATGATTTTTTTTTCTTTCTCATTACCACCTCAACCTCAAGAATCGAGATGTCTTCTGTTAAAACAGATTCTAGTAAGAAGCTATTTTTTAGTGTGTGGCTTTGGTTTGATTTTCAGGTGTTGGGATACTCTCAGTTCCATATGCTCTTGCATCTGGAGGGTGGCTAAGCTTGGCTCTTCTGTTTGCTATTGCCGCTGCAGCATTTTACTCAGGACTTTTGATCAAAAAATGTATGGATAAGAATTCCAACATTAGAAGCTACCCTGATATAGGTGAGCTTGCATTTGGAAAGATAGGGAGGCTAATAGTATCAGTGTCCATGTACACTGAGCTCTACTTAGTTTCAATAGGATTTTTGATTCTAGAAGGTGATAACTTGAGCAACTTGTTCCCTATTGAGGAGGTTCAAATAGGTGGATTTGCAATTGGTGGGAAGCAGTTCTTTGTGATATTGGTTTCCCTTATTATCTTGCCAACAGTTTGGTTGGATAGTTTGAGTCTACTTTCTTATGTATCTGCAAGTGGAGTTTTTGCTTCTATTGTCATCATTCTCTCAATATCATGGACTGCAACATTTGATGGAGTTGGTTTTCATCAAAAGGGAACTCTTCTTAATTGGAATGGAATCCCCACAGCGGTTAGCTTGTATGCTTTTTGCTACTGTGCACATCCAGTCTTTCCCACTTTGTACAATTCCATGACAAACAAACACCACTTCTCTAATGTAAGTGCTTTGAAAATTTTTATATATTATTTTGGATGTGTGTTTCTTTTAATCTTTGGAATTAGCATAGAATAATGAAACGTGGTGGGTTTTATCTTTGATTTGAATTAAATTGATGTAATGATGTTACCCTATTTAAGAAAAAGAGTGGTACCGCTACCCTTTGTTGCTTTATAAACTAAGTCCAAGACATTGTTTGTCTCTAGCTAATAATTATTTTAACATTGCAGGTCCTACTTGTATGCTTTGTGTTAACCACTGCTGGTTATGCATCGATGGCTATAATTGGTTACCTAATGTTTGGCTCACAAGTTGAATCACAAGTGACATTAAACCTGCCACTGAACAAAGTAAGCTCAAAATTGGCAATATATACTACTTTGGTGAATCCCATATCCAAGTTTGCTTTGATGGCAACACCAATTACCAATGCTTTGAAAGACTTTCTTCCGGTTTCATATAAGAATAGAGTGACCAGCATCTTAGTGAGCACTGTGTTGGTAATAAGCACTACCATTGTTGCCCTCGCTGTTCCTTTCTTTGGGTATCTCATGTCCCTGGTTGGAGCGTTTCTAAGTGTCACAGCTTCTATTCTGCTTCCATGCTTGTGTTACTTGAAGATTTCAGGCACTTACAGGAAATTTGGGAGTGAAACGGTGGCCATAGTAGCAATAATAATAGCAGGTATAGCAATGGGAATATCCGGGACTTACACATCTGTCAGGGACATAGTGCAACATTTGTAATGTGGTGGAGTGCTTCATTTTATTCACTATAAAAATATTTGTTCACATTGATGAGAGTGTATATTTCTTGGGAAACAGGTGGTTTTCACGTAAAAAGTAAATGCAATTAGTTTTTGTTTTTACTTTTTTCAAATTTATAAGGATATGCTTTGTCGGCTATAGAACGTGTTTTCAGATCTGAATTAAAAATAATTAATGTTAGCTTTTTAGGCTTTTTTGCATTCAAATATAAGATTATTTTACTAAGGGCATTAGTGTTATTTATATCTAGTTTTAGTGCAGTTGCATTTTGTTCCGGCCACGAGGTGCACTAGGGTTTTTTTCTAGGTCAGACCTCAAAGCCAGAGCATTCAAGAGTGTAATCTGCCTTCTCAACTCTAGGGTTTTTTCTTTTATAGTTTCTTGTTTACTGGCTTATGGGCCCCGAGAATGTAGGGACTTCCTTAACCGTTTTGATCTGGCTAATATTTGGTGAGGGACAGTGGGACCTTGCCCTTGCTATCGGGTAGTCCCTATATGCGAGAGTTGTGTTGGCCCCCGACCGACCATACCCGTACTGAGGGTACAGTCGAGTATTGGCCGAGTTGGTTCTTGTAAGCGGAAGGAATCGGAAATATACCGACCAGGTTAAGTAAAGAAACCAAGTCGAATAATAACCGAACCACTCTTAGAGGGGTGATCGGCGAGAGCTACAGTCGGCCTGACATATCGGCGAGAGCTACAGTCGG